CACAGTAAAGATTTTAGGTAGTGTGCGTAGATGCATGCTATCCGGGGGTTGGGGGGGGGGAGACGATCAGGACAATCGTTATTTGCCACTCCGTCACACGCGACAATGGAACGCTGCGGTGTTATCTTGGTTTGCGAAGCCTAAGCATGGGGCGCCGGATTTCATATGGACGTTGTAGACATTTATGTAATTTTGGTTATACATTGTCTACTTTCGCCATGTGCCACCTAGAAGCACTGTAATTCACGGGAGCGACGTTCGCACGCAACGCCCACCAGCGCGGCGAATTGCGATTGTCTTGGCACATATCCCGCATGGGGCTCTATTTCAAGACGCATTCCGCGATAAGCGGGTGGGATGAGCATTCGGCGGAGTTTTACTATCTCTGTTTCTTCTTCGTTTGTGTGCCCCCTTTATCCTTAGCAAAAAGAGGCGCATAAAAAGGACTCATTTGGTTCCTAGTCTCCGCCCACTCGATTATAGTGGAATCTGCCTCTGACTAAGCTCATTTCATGTCTTTATTATCCTTCTTTAGCACTTATCATAATGTTTAGGTACGATCTAGAATGAAACCGCTAGCAAAGACCAGTCTCGCAATGCCCATACAAGAAATGATGCAGAGCAAATTCACTAAAGAAACAGGACAATCGGGCCATGTGAGTTTTGAGCTTTCGTTTTTCTATAGGTGGAATTTTCAGCTCGAAAGTACCTGAATTGCATGATAACTGCAGTGCTCTGCACTTTCCAGGCAGCCAAACACGACAGTGATAAAACGGCGGCTGTTAAAATGGGAATGTTTGGAGAGCGAACGAGGACGACATTTCAGTGGTGAGTATTTAGTCAAGGCAGCTCCCAGACTTCGCGATGACGCGCTTGGACGCGCTTATTGCGCTACACTAGCAAGAGCGCTCCATTCCTATAGGCGCGAACGCAGTCACACGCGGGCATTTATCGATGCCGCTTGTGTATTGAGAGAATACGCGGGGACTGGTCGGCACTCGTTGCCTAATCACTCAGCGGCGACGATCGGTTCCCCCTGCGGCTGTGTTAGCGTCTTAGGAGTGGACGCTGTTGTAGCGCGTTACAGCGAGTCGTCGCGCGTCAACGCGCGGCATCGCGGAGGCAAAACACTGCCTTGTGAACCTGCTGTGTTTTGAATGGAGCTATCCTGCTCAAGGTTTCTCGTCTCCAAGACTTCTCGTTTATTCCAGGTATCCACATAATTCACTTGCGAAACGCTTCAACATTCCCAATCCGTATCCTGGAGCTGAGATTGTTGGCGTACCGCATTTACAAAGGACATCAAAGAAAGAAACGTTACTGAACTTGGGTCTACCACAGACAGCTAATGATCTCGCCCAAAGGTAGACACTTAATCGAATTGGAAGGTTTTGAGGGCAGTTGGGCTTCGTGGGGGCATTTTAGTAGTTCTTATCGCCAACCTCGACGCGCGCCACATCCGCCCTGCGACACTGCTGTATCATCCTTGTGGACACCCGTATCTTCCTGTGAAGCCATCAGCACCGGAAGCAGCCATCGTTCAGCTAGCTTGAAAGGACAAGACACTACAAGTCGCACTAGGGTGTGACGTGTTACTCAAGAGGATCTAGCAAAGGGGACTAACGAACAGCAAAAATGACCCCCAAAGCCGAACAGCGCAGGTTTGGGAACAGTACCTGGCCTGTTAGGGTTGATGACAGCCTGACTTGCAGACGAGCGTGCCATAAGTTGGTGATTACTCCACGCGGGATATAGGGGTTTTGTATGTGGTCTTGTGGCAGCTGTTCGCTGTTTCTGTATTTCTGTAATAATTCTAACGCTTCAGGAAAGCTCGTGAGGAGATCCATCATGAAGAGGAGTTGGAGAAAGAAGCCAAAGGAATGCAAAAGAGAAGACCTGGACCGGCCTCCGAAGTCGATATTCGACGTGATTTTCGGCGAAAGTGAGAGTGATAGCGATAGCGATGAGGAGGAGGAAGAGGAGGAGAAAAAGGACGTGGTGAAAGTGGAACAAAAAAGCATAAAGAAGAGAAAAAGGAGAAAAGAGAAAGAAGGCAGCAAGCGAGAGGCAACCGAAGCCCAAAGCCGATCACAGTGATGGACATTGTGGACGATGAACAGGAGTTTGGGCCAGCTCCACCGACGAGTGCAAGTGAAAGTGAGTTATATGGAGGTTTAGGAAAGTCCTTTTCTATCTTCTAGTCTACTGTGTATTGCTTGCGTGGGTGACGCACACAGTAGCCTAGAAGCTGACCTGACCACGTTGATTTCTTGGGGTGTCGTTTAGAGAATTTGCGTCAGTGCGTAGAAATCAGCACACTATCTCTGCTTTTGGCGTACTGCAGCACGGGTACAGTCTTAAAGTGCCGCGATGGTATTTGTCACGCATCGCGCGGTGATGCGACAAACTACGACTATCTTGTCCGTTCCCTCTGTAGCACTCCCATTTTAAAGACAGTATCCGCGCTCGAGAGGCCTTCAAAATGACTTCGCGCCTTCTGGAAGCTCCTCTGCGCGCTTGATAGGAAGATATCCCCGCTTTTATCCATCAATGGCGCGCGATGAGGAAGTTATCGCAATTTCGACAAGGCTCGCTAGGCTCACGGAGACGGTAGGTGGACGAGGCGTCTGGTCCCGAACTGCATCCGTCCCTTTAAGCCCGCGCGGCGCGTCTCGTGGGGGTGTGTGGTGTTCTTAAAAGATCTCACTTCACACCTATCATGCCTCTTGGGGAGACTCGCCTGCGGTGTTGCCTGACTTAATTGCTCTCTCACTAACTCCTGACCTCTCGTCTACAGACACAACTGAGCCAAACTGAACATGGAAAGTAGAAGGAAAAAATAAAAGTAAACGTAGGAAATGTCAGAAAAAATGTTTTCATAAATTTAAAATGTCAAGAACACATTTAACCACTTACAACAACTGAAATGCAGACGTACACAACATGAAATTACTGCAATCCAAATAGGAAAAAGGGGCACGTATTGAAAAAATTCGTATTGTTTTCATCATGGAAGGTATCCCAAATGATCTGAACTTCTAGGCTCTGTAATTACTTGACGGTTGAATGTGTCTTGCGCCAAGAACTCGCTGCAATTGCAAGGACTTTATACTTTATTGATGCCCCTCTATAGGGAGGTTAATTCGTTAAATATGACTGCCACTACGTTAAACTGTTGGTATCTCTTTTTGTCCAACCTCCAACACCTGATATAACGGGGGTTGTGCAAGGTCGTCGCTAATCAGTATTCAAGCGGGCTGATCAGCGGAAATCTTTAGCAATGTTGTTTGTGTAACGCAGAGTAGAGCATGAACGATGAAACTCCTCCCTTTATCCCGTTCCCACCAATTCTCTAATTTTCTATGATGTCTCCAGCAGTACACAACTCCCTTTCCCTTTGTACAAGTTTTCTTTTTTAACTTCGATGCTTGTATGCCTTCGAATGGCGCCGGCATCTGCAGATCGAAGCGGAACAGCAATATTGTCGAAAAATGTCTAGATTTGTTACTAACACTACCATCTAAGCCTAATTTATGTGTTCATTTTAATTCATTTTAGCATGCTTTTCATCTTTGATTGTTTCATGTGATTCAAATTTTTCAATTGTAGTCCTTAGTTCTATTAAAGTTGCTAAAAAATTAGCAGTAAATAATCACTCATTCATCATAATGCGTCAAGTAGAGAAAGGTTCAGGAGCTAGTGAGGAGAGGCATAGTTAAGTTCAGCGGAACAACCGCATGGCGAGTTCCCCCCGAGAGGCATGATAGGTTGAAGTGAGATTCTTTTAAGAAACTAGAGCGCGTCTCGTGCGCGGCCCTTCTGGCACTTAGCCAAAGTTGGTTTATAGCTGGCTGGAAGCGCAAATTCTTAGAAAAGCATACATAGGATAAGAGAGAGGCAAGAAACTAAAGAAGGCAGTGAGGGAGGATTGAAGAAAAAGCACGGGGAGATGAGTATCACGTACGAAAGTCTGTTTCTCCCGCTTGTTGCTTAGAGCATCCGCATCGCGCGTAGCAGGAGAGAATATAACAGAACAGCATGAATACTGAGAAGAGCTCCTCTGTTCTCCCCAGCTCCACTCTGACAGAAAAAACCCTGTAATTATCAGTGGAACACGTTTTATCGAGACATCGATGCCCGGAATTTCTCGACACACGCAAGTGATGGATTAAACGGGAGCTCTCCTCTCCGACAACCGTCGATTCAGGGGCGTAGCTGTTTCCGCAGTTTCCTATTTCCTATTCGAATTCGAAAATTATCCTATTTCGAAAGTCGGGACGCAATTGCGGCCGCCGCACCGATCCCGGCAGCCACGCCGGCGCACTCGTCCAGGCCCCGCCCCCACTGCTAAAGGTAGGTTTGGGTTCAAGGTGTTCCCGAAGATTTTTCTGCTTCTTTTTCTACTGAGAAGCTAACTATGGAATACTGGTGCATGACAGAGTACAATTGCCCGCAATACTTGATCGCGATAATTGTCTTTAAACCAAATAGGTTCTGGTGACAACTTCGTGGGAGGGGGAGGGGCGTTACTCATGGAATAGAACTTTTTGACACCCCTGATTCTTTGAGCCTTTAGGAATTCCTCTTGGAAGTCAAAGAAACTTTATGAGAAACGTGAAATTCTAGCGATACCAGGATTCTCCGTATTATCATATCTCAAGGATGAAATAGCGAAGCGAAAAGCATCGAAGAAGAGCCACAAGAAACATAAATCAAAGGTGAGTGTCCTATAATGTTATGAGAGCGCGTTCATACTTCGCGATCTAATCGCTTGGATCGCGCGGCCGCAACTGGAGACCTTCCACCGCCAATCGGAGCATGCCGCAACGGCAAAATTCAAATTGGGCAGCGTTCATGCACTGTATGAGTGCGGCCCTATTGAATACTGCCCCCGCGGCGGCCCACCGATACGCAGCGCAACGTCCCCAGTTGTGGTCATGTGATCGGGTCGCGAAGTATGAAGTGCTCTGAGAAGTGCATTGGACTACATGAGCGATTTCATTCAGAAGTCCAAGAAAGAAAAATCCTCGAAGAAGTCAAAGAAGGAAAAGAAGAGCAAGAAATCTCGACGAAAACACCACTCTTCAACATCGTCATCAAGCGATTCTTCTGTAATCGAAGTGATCGACTGAGCGCGGTGCGATACATGCTAATCGACAAAGGGATCAGTTTTTGGCGGGAATTTTGAGCTGGACTGATGGGAGTCGCAAAAGCTCTTCAGGCCGAATGCTACGGGTCAAAAGATGATGTCATATATTTGTTGAGATATGTTGATTTTCCATGGGCATCAAGGGCCAGTGAAATTATTTTGATGTCCAGCTGGGCGCCTGGTCCTACTTGGTGCGAGTAGGTTTTGTCCTACCGTAGCCTAAGGTTCCACGTGGTTTGTGTGCATCCATATTTGTACAATTGCATTAAATATTGTGATTCATTGAGTTCCACACAGATAAAGTACTTTATAGTAAGATGTGGATTATGTGGATCGCGCGTTACTTCGCGCCTATACTCGTTGGATCTCGTTGGTTCATCATGAGAGGGTTTACTCAGGGCGGAGACAGTTGGAGAGGTGGGGGACGCGACGTCATCTCCGAGACCGCGTTCATACTTTGCGACCGAGATTAGGCTACTTGGCTACTACCGGCGCCGATCGATACCCATCTGCCCGAACCGAAGATCGCCCAAATGGCCGAATCTCTTCACTCGCAAAGTATGAACGCTGCATTACTTTAACTTGTCATTGTCTTGCCCACGTCTTTCCGAAGCCTTGGAAGAGTAACTAGGACAACATTTCCCGTCCGCATTCAATGTTCTGCAATATGACGTGAATCTTTCTCGAAACTGAATCTTTTTTCGATGAGAGGGCGCAGAAGAGAGGACATGACGTGGCATTCTGGTGCTTTTCCCTTTTCATTCGCATTTGTCCTGTTTCCTCTTCATTGACCGAAGTGAACATGATAACCAGGAGATTATCGTGAAGTTTTCAGTCCCAGCGAAGGTTTTCATTCTTTAACTGAGTTCCGTGGTGTATGGTCGAATCGATAGGTGAGTTCTCCCTTTTGGGGAGGAGAGTAACCGAAATGTTTACTGTAAAGGATAAGGACCATTATGATTAGGAATGATTACAGTTGCAGTCGTTTATGTGTCTCGGGAGGGGGTGCCTTCTAGCGGGGTGATGCCGCGTCACGCACGCTCTCATAGAGCAGCTTGACATGTTCTGCCATTGCCAACATCCGAAGATGTCACCCTTCCACTGCTCTCGCTTACCTAGGCAACGTGTCGTGGCTAGGCTTCGCTGGAGCATGACCCCTCCCGAGGCACAGGGCCTCGAATGCACAGCATAGCTTTACTCTCAAAGGTCTGAGCTCAGGTTACCTGGAGTGGATTCCTCCGATGGCAATCGCAATTATCATAAGCGCGCTTCTCACATGTGTTTCATCTCGTGAGTTGTTTAATCCTTGTGCTTTAAGAATTATTTCACTCACATGGTTGCCGATGCAATCAAGATAGCATAATGCAAACAGTTAGG